GCCGATTTCAGACGAAGGAAATCAAATCTATTACGACAAATCTCTCTCGCGGAATCAGATTTCGTTGAAAAAATGTTGATTCTGGCTGCATTTGTCTGACTCCAGCTTTTTTTAGGCGGGAAATCTTTTTTTGGGCCTCAGTAACACACAGGCCGAAAAAAAGAGGAAAATAACCGAAGGCAAGGCGTCATCCACTGATTTAGGTGTACCTTGATCGCAGAAAAAAATTCCGAGACTGCCGGTTGATCTAATGTCCCAGAAAAACCGGTGTGTCTGGAGCAAAGGGATGGAGGGGGTCTCGACTGAATTTGGGGCAGGAGTGCACGTGCGTTACTAGGCGATGACGCACTCAGAAAGGCCGTCTTGGAACAAAGCATACTTGGAAATTAATGAAACGCATCTTCGGCCATGAGTGGCTTTTAGTAGGTGGCAGTTTTAATGAATTCATTACCCTTCGCTTAGGGCGTTCGTACCCACCCTCTGAATGGCATTTTCACGTGCTAACGACAACTTGGTCACGTGAGGTGTGAGTCAGTACAATTCCTAGGGGCCCCCAAAACTCGGCATTACATGTCGAATCTGTTGCTCTAATGATAAATGAGTTCTGGCCGCGTTTAAGGCTCGGACGCGAACACACGCACCCCGATCTCTCGAATCACGTGACTAAATTTCCATGCGACGTATTCGAGAGAACTAAATTTCCATGTGACGTATTCGAGAGAAACTTCGAGGATATGGGAGTGTAGCCAGTGGGTTTGAGAAGAGACAAAATCGACTTCTGGGTCGGATTTAAGCGGGTTGAAAGCACCCCTGGGGCGTCATGAGTCATCACGCCAAATTGATGGTTATGGGTGAAAAATGACGTCATTGTGACGATGCGTGGTTGAGAGGGGGTTGTTAAACCACCCCCCGCCCTAAACTTAACTGAAAAGCATTTAAATGGTTTTGTGTTAATTACTCATGTCTACGGTAATTACCAAATAAATAAACTCCTCTACTAACCTGTTTTCCCTAAGCTCAAAATTTGAGTCGGCGCGCTTACTATAATGGATGATGATTTAAACCAATTATGTCTCTACAAAAGTATTTACGTGAATCAGGACTCATTTGATGGTAACGGATCAAAATAATACCTTTGTGTCCTCGGTTTAGTTTGGCATAATCTAATTAGCTCAGAGTGATGCGTGTCTAACTGCCAACAACAGTAGTTGCTAATTTTTGCTTGCGGCTTTTCAGATGCTAGTCCAGTGGAGGTATTGTGAGGAAGCTGAGGGTTTTGTTTAAATCATTACGAGGCGGAAGTGGTTTCGTTAAAAATAGGCGGTTGGTTGTAGAAACCAGGGGTGGGGATTCGACTTCGTAGCCTGTGTATTGGCGCATTACTACTTGGAATATACAAGATAGCGATGATGGATTTAAGCGTCAATTGACACCATTTCACCCAAACCTGCGGGGGATTGGTTGCAGTACTTGGCTTCTTGTTTAAATAAGGTCACTTCTCGAAAACGCATAAAAATGGTACGTCGTTCAGGATACTCGAGTCGGAATTCAATGTACACTAGCTGCACTGGCCTCATCAGCGTTCTAGTATATATTAAAAACGGCAAATCTGAAAGGAACTAAATCAAGATTTAGTTGCACAATTTTCACAGAACACTAATTTCTCTTCTCACTTAAATGCCATAGGGAAGGCAGCAACAAAAATTCACGTTCTCTCTCCAATAGTTCATTCACGATTTTTGCATTAATTAAGACAGTCCTTCCGTAGTGGGGTTGACCTTTGAACTGTGAAAACCTCGTGCACACAGCTGCATTTCATTTGATCGACTTGCACCAATGGCGGTTTCAAATAGATGGAAATTGATATTCATGACCACTATCTGACCGAGATGTTCACTTCACATGACAAACCCCTCCGCCTTTTCCTGCAAATCTTTTTTTCCGCCACGGTATTTGACAAATAAATTTTTAAATTCTCAACCCAAAAACGGCTGTCGTATAAACTTCAACTCGAACTAAAATTCACGGCGTTTCCAGGTTGGTGATGGGTGAGTCATGCGATTCGCTTTAGGGGGCAGCAAAAATTAGTCCGAAGTTAACCCATGAACTATTTAAAAGCCCGCCAAGATGGCAAAAAAGAAAGATTTTGTACGAATCGTTGTTGACAGGTGAGACGTTTCAGGAAGAGCAGGCGATGATGTCAGTTCGACAGGCAAAACGCTGCGATTTTTTCCAATCAAGTTTCTCCAAAGAGCCAAGATCTCTATTCAGCGGTTGTCATGGCATCGTCCTAGAAATATCTGACCACTCTTTTTTAATTAACACATTACTGGCCTCTTTTTTAACCTGGGCAACTGAAGTTGATTGGGCAAGGCTATAGCTACTGTAAAGAGGAAAATAAAACAAGGTTGTGAAAGCTTACTCCGCGGTTAAAAACGTGTTCGACCAGCCACGGCGTTGACTCCTCCTTCCCCATTAAAGTAATGATCTTGGCAAGTGGGAAAAGAGGTCATCGAAGTAGTAAAATATTAGACACTCTTCAGGTAGATGAAGCCGTATGTGCGTAGTGGCAACTCCACAGAAGCCTACATGGCAGGCAGGAGGGAATCGAACCAAGTACCTTCAGGGTAAATCACCACTAAAATTCATCAAAGTTAGAAAATCCAAACGTCTCTCGTTTTCAGTTTTAGGAAATCAAGCTGGCGCCACATCGAGAACAAATTATGATTACACGATTTGGTAAATTCAGCAACAGATTGGTGTCATTCGAGTTCCATTTTCACTCAGCGAAATTTCCCTCATAACGACTTGGAGTTATCGAAGAATTTCAGACCTAGGATTAAAACAACTAACACAGAATGACCTTGTCATGATTAATTTCTTCACAAGAACTCGAAAGTGTCAATGGTGTTGTGATTTATGCTGATTGGTTGGGCATGCTTTCCCGTAACCTACCATAAGAGCCTTTCCTTAACTGCAAAGTCATGCAATGATGAAATAAGTGAAATTAACTAACTCAAATTCTCCGTTACCTTGGTTTCACAAGGTCATAGTGTTGCGATGCCGCGTGGAGGTTCTTACAAAGCGGGATATGTGTGCTAGAGCAGTTTTCTCAAAAATCGGTCAAGTCCCTCAAAAACAACATTAACAAGCGGTTTCTTGACAGCTGAAATGAATTTTTGTCAGTGAATGAACATTTTCAGATCCAGTGATGCTGATTGGCTGCCTGATTGGTGGGTTGCCTCACAAACCGGCCAACTTTGGGCAATAATTTTAGCCAGCAGCCCGTGGTTAAAACAGACAGCAGTCAAGGTAATGATTGAGATTGACAGGAGGATTTGCGTTTGACGATTCCAGTGAATTGGCCTCGACAGAAAGCCTGATGGCAGCGTAACCAACCCAGATGTTTCACCCGAATTAATTATGGAATTTGTTTCACCGCTTGCTGCGCCCACGGTGGCGTGAACCCTAACCTCTTGTCCCACCAGTTGAGGGATACAGCGTTGGGGAGGTGAAGGGGCGTGAGAGGCATAGTGCCATGGTTACAAGCGCAGGTGGTAATTAGAGCCGTCGTAGGCAATTCCGCCAGGTGGTGATGTCAAGTTCACGAGCGAAAATTGCGACACATGAGACAAGACTTTTGACCAGGAAAGTGTTCTACAGACTTGTGTTAGGCAGCGTAATTAGATTAAGCGGGTTCCAAGGCGTGTGGGCAGTAACTTCTTGGATGACACAGAGGCGAAGAGGTAGCATCATTTAAAAGGTTTGCAGGCTCGCACAGAAAGGCTCAATCTCAATCAATAAATCAATGAGATGGTACTGATTGGATTAGGAGGGTACGTTGAATCATTTAATGAACTTGAGCCAGTCAATGAGGCGCTACATCGCTTCTCATGTTGCTATCGCG